CTCACCAGAGCACAGTAGAGGGGGGGGAATGCCTTCCCTCCACCTGCTGGCCACACTTCTCTGGATACAGCCCAGGATACGGTTGGCTTTCTGGGCTGCCAGCACACACTCCCAGCTCACGTCAAACTTTTCATCCACCAGTACCCTCAAGTCCTTCTCCTCAGGGCTGCTCTCTATCCACTCTCCACCCAGCCTGTACTTGTGCTTGGGATTGCCCCAGCCCAGGTGCAGGACCTTGCACTTGGCCTTGTTGAACTCCATGAGGTTGGCAGTGGCCCACCTCTCCAGCCTGTCCAGGTCCCTCTGGATGGCATCCCTTCCCTCCAGCGTGTCAACCCCACCATACAGCTATGCAAAACCACTTATGCAAAACAGTATCATCAAAACCCTATAGGAAGAACATTCTTTGTTTCTACTCACTGTACTAACTCTGTCAGCTGCCAGTGCTTTTGAACTACAGCAGACCTGATGCTGGCTACTTCAGTCAGACAAACCTTTACTGACTTCAGTCACTACGTTAGAAATGCTTTCCGTGGCATTCCACATCTGTTCCCCAACTTTGTGTACACCAGGACAGCATACTGTTATCAGAATGTGGAAGGACAATCATGTCCATGCCGTTAAAATTCATTTTTCAGCGCAGAAAAAGAACTAGCTTCTGAAATTAAACTAGAAGCCATACGGAAAGGATTCTGAATTTAAGCAGTAAGTACTTGCTTCTTTAGGTGAGTTTCATTAGCTTATTTCATCGGAAAAAATTTGAACTAGCTCCATACCAGTCATGCTGCTCCCTCTTCCCACACGATGTCACACTTGCCCTCAAAAAAAGGAAAACCAACAAAAAAAACCCACCAAACAGAAAAAAACCCTCAATTTAGTCCCTAAAAAAGCTCAGGCAGAAGAGTCTTGCCTTTCTGCATCAGCTTTCATGTAAATCCCGCAGCACTGGCAATTGCTGGCAACAGTAATCTGGCCAGAATTTTTTCAAGTGGGGTTTGGCCCTTGTACATTAGAGGGCAGAGAGGCAAGAAAAGCCATGTGTCAGGGCTTCAAGTAGAGAGGACAGAAACAGTAATTTACACATAGCAAGTCTGGCAACTTGTAAGTCCGTTGTTAAAGGGAAAGTTAACGTGTAACGGCCACAGCGAAGCTTCTGTACGTTAAGGAGTGTTTTATATAGTGACACAAAGCAAGCAAGAACCCCGCTGGACAAGAGCCCCCTGTACAAGAGCACACTGCTAGAAGAGTTCTCTGCTACTTTTTGTCGCCTCCCTGAAGTTATTGCGGGGCGTCTCCCACTCGGTGCCTGGTGTCACAGACTTCATCTTGCAAAGAGCCAGCTGTCAAAATAACCCACTTAAACTTACTGATGTTCTAACACACCAGCGTAGACTGGTCACTCCAAAAGCTCTTTCAGTTTGTACATGTGTCTTATGCCACCAAAGGCAAAAGAGTATGTATCTTCTTGTGTCATACACGATACTGTTTGAGACAGAAAAAAGCAAGTTGCACTCCAGAACTGGCTTTTAGTGAACCACAGGAAGAAGTAAACACACTACAGAAAAACTTACTACCTGCAACATATAGTGAATTGCGAGTTTATGAAAATAAAAACCTCTTTAACAGTCACAGGTAGGAAGTTAGAGATGACAGTATGGGAGCAGCTTACAGGCACTGTCAAAACTTAAAAAAACTGCAAGTGTGAAAAGCAATACCTGCATAAAATAGGCCATTTCCAATATTGAAACATACAATCATTGAAGATTTGGCAAAACAAAACACAAGCTGGAATGTTAATCGTGATCATCCATGGCTTGCTTCCTTTTGATTTAGACGCTCATGACACACTGGATGAACTGCAAAAAGAATAACCACTTGTTAGATGGATGGTAGAGAACAGGTTTTCTCTTCTCCTAAAATAGCCATTGGCACTACCCTTTTCTGTACATAAAGTCAGCCCGTGAACAACACAGCTATGAAATAAGTATGAAACTTATCTAAGAGCTAATTAAAACAAGGCATCTCCTTAATAGTAACAACGATTCCTGCACGTCTGTGGCCAGGAAGCCAAGACCCACAAGCCTGAGTGAGTGTGATTTGTGTCTGTCCCCAGCACACCGCCCCCAGCCTTTCCTGGGAAAAGTGCTTACCAAGTCTTAAAATAAAAAAAGATAAAGAAGTCCCAGGGTGATGTTAGCAAGTGGTGTAGCCTCTTAGATCCTCTTGAGCCACATGGGTAGGAAGTCCAGAAAAAATGCACAGCCACATATTACAGAACTCTATAAAGTACGTGAAAACTTTCTGAGACCATACTCGAGAAACCCCTGAACCCCTGTGCTCTCAGGTAACACCGTAAGCGTGGGGAAGACAGGCACAACCCCAATCATTACTGCTTGTCTTCAGTTTTTAGTTTTTTAGTCCTACCCTGTAACTTTTAACTGATTCCGTAAAGTTCACTTACATCATCATACTGGAAGTTCACAAAACCCTGCTGAGATGTATCCCTTCTTCTAAAACATTCTGCACAAATGCATTAAGAAAACAAAACAGAAACCAGTTAAGAAGAATTACAGTTAATCAACTTTGTAAAAAGGCGTTGTACTTCCATTAAATCCCCCAAGTAACATCAGTGAAGAATACCAATTCTTTCCAAGACTTAATTTCCCATTCTTTATTTTCATTTATCATACACCAGCCTTCATGTTCTGTTGATAAATACAGTTTCCCAGTTTTAAGAACACTTCTAGTCTCTAGAACAAACCCTGCATTAGTTTTAAGTCCATTTGTCAATGGGGATTTAAAAAATCATAATCTGTAATTGTTCCAATTCTGCCTGTAAACTCTACTGAAAAACCTATTTTGTGTTACCCAAAAGCTGAACTTAAGATAACTGAGTAATCAGATTTTATTAAATAAAGCTCTGTGATGGGGATGTTAGTAACAAGGTGATAATCCAGCATACCAGTGAGAGCTCTGAGTTTCACACAGCAGGCGATGTAATCATCAAATGTAATCTTTCCACGAGTGCTGTATCGCCTTGTGATTGCCGTCACCGCCTGCGGGCTCAGCCTGAATCCTATTTGAAAATAAAAAGTCTGGATGGTAAAGACAGGTAAGTTAACAGAATCCAACACATCTGTAATTGGAAATATCACGTGTCGGTTACTGCGGGATGAGAACTGGTACTGGGAAAGCAATGTCCGAAGCAGGAACATTTCACAACTTACCCATATTCATCAAGGCTTTCTCCAGTTCTTGACGATCCACCGTACCACTTCTGTCGTTGTCAAAACTTATGAAGTGTTGCTTCCAGCCATTGACCACAGCCCAGAGTTCTTTAAACTCATTAAATCCCAGCGTGCCAGACATATCCCTCTGATTCCAAAGCTAAGAAAAACATTTCTTAACTCAGATTTTTTTTAAAAAGACCTCCCTTCAACGGAAATATGTATTTTTATCATCTGTAGTTAAAAACACTTTCTTGAAGATCAATATTGACAATGTTTTAGTATTATTTTACTATTTACACTCAAAGAGTTGTGGCCCACAGCTTGATGTCCAAGTGGAGACCAGTAATGAGTGGCATTCCTTGGGGGTTGAGTACTGGGACAGGTTGGATGGGGCACTGAGCAACCTGACCTGCCCATGGCAGGGGGGTGGGAACTTCAAGGACCCTTCCAACCCAACCCAACTATGATTCTTATTTTTTCTGGTAGAAAGCCAACTACAGCATCCCACAGCACAGAGAGAATACTACAGACACAAATCAAAGGTCAGAGAACTTGCTTTCCCCAGTTCTTCTCAGTGAAACCCGATAAAATTATTTGCTCTTTGTGAATTTAATTAATTAGTGAACTAGTGAATTAATTCACTAATTAGTGAATTAGTGAATTAATTGTGAATTTAATTAATTAATTTTAGATGAGTGTTCACACACTCATCTCTTAACCTGCCGCAACGTAATTGTTACCAATAAAATACATATCCAGAATAAAAATAGATGCCTAATGAAAAATGACTGTAAGTTAGAGTAGTATCAGTTCTCTCACATTCTAAGCAGTTTGTTCAAGGTGAGCTAACAGCCCCTCCAGTTTCATTTCTTTTTTTTCAACAGCAAAACATTTGAACATGACAATTTAAGTTTTGACCAAAAAGCTCCCAAGATTCCAACCTTGCACAGTACACCTAAGTCTTCCTTAGGTCCTACTGCTGAATGCCATGTACCACCACCTCATTAGGTACTCAAACCTGACTCATTCAAGGAAGCGGCTTTAGGGGGACTTAGTCTGTAACAAGGCTGTGCAGCACCAATGCTTAATTCATTAGGCAGGACATCTGCAGTGTTGTCCAGTTTCAAATGCACAGCGAGCAATTTGCAGAAAACTCTGTTCTGGGCTGCCAGACCTGACTCTTCATACACTGAATGGAGAAGCAGTCCCGTAGGCTTAGAGGGATACCCCGTGTAAGAAGATCTGTCACGAAGAGCCTCATTTTTTAGATTTAATATTTTGCCCAGTTAAATGAAGAAGAATGGAATTTTGCAATTCCCCAATTATAATGATCATAATACTTATCAAGTAAGAGCTGAATGGGAATTACAAAACATTTCCCAAATTTTGGGCACACTCTCATCTTTGCTCATGTAATGCAGAAATGCTTAAAATTCATAGGAAAGGATACATCCAGCATTGAGATCATGAGCCTGCAAGTCTCTAAGTTGAAAGCTGTTTAAATTAAAAATAAGAAAAACAAGTTATATTAAAAGAATGATTTATATTTTTTCTAAATCTAACATTTTTAAATTGCTTTTTATTGTACACTGAATATATATTATAATGTCTAAAATATTATGTAATTGCTGTATACAGCCATATCATATTTTGATCCAAATAAGAACTTTTAATCATTACTTGTCAGAAAAACTGACAGCAGACAACCTGGAGGCAATTCAAGTTCTATTTAAAATTCATCTGCTCTTATCCCAATCCATAAAGGTTTTGGGTTTCAGTCAAACTGGTCATTAATATTTCACCATAGACATCACTTGAGGAAGACAGTTTTGCTCACAGAAGCTCAATTTTGTAAACTGAACACTAGACAACCCAACAGAAGAGTCCTCCCACAAAAATTTCTGGTCAATATCAAAGCTCAATTTAAAAACAAAGCAAAACACCTTTTTAAGAACTGGCTGTCCATTGCCAACAAAACATTCCACAGCTTAGCAGGGGGCAACTAAGGAAGTGGAGAGAAGAAGTCCTATACGCACAGAACTGAACAGAGAGAATTTATGTTTCAAAGTGGTCCATACGGAAAGAAAGCCCTTCCACCATGCAAATAAGAAAAATAAAAACCCCTGCAGAAGGCACAACTACAAGTGTTTTCTAGGGGATGGCATAAGAGTTAGTATGCTTTAGGGTTGGGGTTTTTTTGGTTTATTTAAATCGTGAACTTACGTTTATATGCTCCTGCAATCCCTGACTGGGTGAGACATCTCTGTAGCTCATCAGCATCTATTTGTCCATCCTTTCAATAACAGAAGATGTATCAGCTATTGTTTTCATTCCCTCTCCCAGGCTGGTTATTCCCAAGTACCCGCTCCCTCTTCAGTGGCATCAAATAAACAACCAACTACCTGTCTGCTGTATGACAGAAAATGCCTTTTGTAACCCATACCTGTAATGGTGTTTCTTTAGTTGGTATTTCTGTAATATGCATTAGCTTTCCCATCTAGTGATCTACTAAAAAATGAACAGGATTGGCAGGTTTGCTCTAAACGTAACTTAAAAAAACCCCAAACAAACACACATCAAATGCTGGTAGCATATACCTGAGAGCCTGCGGCATAGAAACCAAGCTGTAAAGTTTTGAAATGAAAGACAGCTTTCTTTAAAGTACTAATTATAATTTAGCAGGTATTGAAGTCACTTTAGATTTTACGCTTATGATCTCACTGCTACAGTAGGAAACCTAGAACCCAGCTCATACATACCCTCTTCTCAGTCTTAAAACTTAAAAACCTAAAAAACCCATGGGTTTTCTTTAACAGCAAGTGGTGAGTAGAACAAACAAAAGCAGAAAGCAAAGAACTTGGAAAGAAAAACAAGACAAACCCAGAAACAATACCTATCTGCATGGTTTGGAAAATGACTCACTTCCAATGCATCCTGCTCACGGCCAAATAGAGAAAGCAACTGCCAATTCATGGAAAGCAATGAGCTGTCAAAAGTGGAGCTGGCTTTCTAGGTCACATTCCTCACACACCCAACATGAAGTTCGGTTCACAGAGAGCTTGAGTATAATTTAAGCTCAACTGAGGATGGAACATTGTATCCGTAGATATAAAAAATGATGTGACTTTTGTAAAGCATCAAATAGGGAAAAAAGAATTGCTCTATATTTGAAACAAATTTATTTGCCTCAGCATTTAAAAAATATTTTTGAAACCAGTAAGCATTTTTTTTCTTCCCCCCTTTTTTTTTTTTTAGGAACAGTCAGGTAACTTTCAGAATGAAGGATCATTTTTTACAGGACAAACAGTAGCTAATACGTTAAATGATATTTGACAAGGTCTGAAAAAAAGATCAATAACATTTTGATTCTGTGTAAAATCAATGGCAGCTAAGCCCAAAACTGCTTCCAATCCACTCCATCAATCTAACTATACAGATGTGTTTAAAATTTTACATTCATAGGAAAATTAAAAAGAAATATCTGAAATAGCCATGCACGTTAAGCAGCAAATATATTCAAAGCCCTTGTGCCTTCTGAAGAAAGGCAAGACCTGCATATCTTTACAATATGCAGGAAGACAGAAAAGCATGATTTGTGATCATGATTAACACTACCAAAAGGATGCTTGGCTTTTATTGTTTTATAGAAACGTAGAACTTAAGCAGTTAAACCAGACAAGGCACAGGGGCTTTGCAAAAAAAAAAAAAAAAATTACTTCCTACAAAGACAATTAATTTAATAAAGATTTGAAACAATACCTTTGACTTTCTCTGTAAACAAAGAAAACTAATTCCTCAAATCTAAGACAAGATCTCTGTTGTAAACTACTTCAAAGAAAGCTTAGAGATCACATTATTACATAGGCATAAAAACATCAGAGAGCAGCAAACCACAGCCAAACACTTTACTAATTCTACAATAAGTACTTATGGAAAACTGTGAAATGTGGCTTTTTACAGACTGGCATGGATGGCTGTAAAATCAACTGATAATTTATCTGTTCTGTTTCACTGCCTCCTTACAGGTTTTTCTCTGCACAGCCACTGGTCTCTGAAACCGACTCCTGCAATTCCAAGGGTAACAGTTCAAAAGCTACCCCCTTTATTTCACTAAGGAATGACTGCTGCACATAAAAAGTATTTAAGAGCACTAACTTAAGTACTCTTTAGCTGTAACTGGATCATTCCCCTAGCTCACTGGTTCCCCAGCTTTCAGTAAGCATGCCTCACATGAGAAGCCTGGGGATGCTCTATGCTTTGCTGAGGTCCAGGTCCTCCCACCTCTTCTCCAGAGGGCTGCTTCCTCTTTGCTGTTGCCTCCCTTTCTCTTTACACAAGGAGCTTACTCATTCTTCCAGCATCAGGTACTGGTTCCACTGGTTATTCCTGGCACACATCCAGGTGGCGCCTGGATGCAGTGGCATCTCAGCTGGCAGGCAAATTGTCTGCAAGTTCAGCAGAATTTAGCTTGGGCTCCACTTTACCAGAGAAGCCTGCCTCACCACACACAGGTCATTCCAGTGTCCTCCTTTACTACAGATGTACATGGTCTACTAATTCCATAAGCAACGTTAAAGAAGAAATATGTAGACTGTAAGATGCAATATTAATTCAAAAAGAAGTAATATATATAAGGTTTTATATATATAAGTATATATATAAGGGTTTGATATTGGCATAACTCAAGACTGCTTTTCTATCTGTGAGTCTATTAAGATCATGAAACGACTTCTTTCTTATTAGCACTTCTTACTCTCAGCCAGGCCATCTCCACAGCCCATGCTTCCCACTGTTTCTGGCTTCTTTCTCCTGAAACCAACAGCATTCCCCAACCCAGAGCTGAGCCACAGTTCAGTTACAACATTTCATGGAACTCTATCATCCACATACATACTTGTATAGGAAATACAGCATATACACGTGTATGTACATACACATATGCATTTACACACACATACCCACACTATATACAAGCTAACAGCATTATTCAAACCACATAGTTACCGTGTATATACAGCTATAAGTATAGCTATACAGCTGTATGTAGCAGATGGGCTAAGTAAAACCATCAAAGACACCTTGGAACAGGTTTTCCTCACTGCAAGTATCAGGCATTCCTCTTTCCGAAATCTAATGTAGCTAATTCCCCAGAAAAAAAAAAAAAATCTAGTAAGGTAACATTTTATAAGTTTACCTGCCCTGCTACTGCAGCAAAATAACCATACAAAGGATCCTGAGCTTGTCCAGGGAATGCTGGTCCTCCTGGAGCTCCTCCATACTAGAAATAAGAAGAAATTTAATTGTAAAACACTGATTCAGTAACAGTTAAAAAAACTGCAGTATTTGTACTTAGGAATCAACTTGTGTTTTTATACACATACCATGCAAAAAAGTCAAAACAAGCAAAAAAGAAATTCCATTAAAAAAAAAAAAAGACATGATCTTGGTATTGACACACTCATTTGTTATAAGGTGCTGGTTTTGGCTGGGACAGTTAATTTTCTTCACAGTAGCCAGTATAGGCCTCTGTAACGGATTTATGATGAAAACAGTGCCGATAACATGGGGCTGTTTTTGTTACTACTGAGCAGTGCTTACAGAGTCAAGGCCCTTTCTGCTCCTCACATCACTCTACCAGTGAGTAAGCTGGGGGTGCACAAGGAGCTGTGGGGGGACACAGCCGGACAGCTGACCAAAGGGATATTCCAGACCATATGATGTCATGCTCAGCATATAAAGCTGGGGAACGAAGGAGGGGACGTTCAGAATTACAGCATTTTTCTTCCCAATTAACCGTTACACGTGATGGAGCCCTGCTTTCCTGGAGATGGCTGGACGCCTGCCTGCCAGCGGGAAGCAGTGAAGGAATTTGTTTTGTTTTGCTTGTGTGCACAGCTTCTGCTCTACCTATCAAACTGTCTTCATCTCAACCCATGAGTTTTCTCACTTTTACCCTTCTGACTCTCTCCCCCATCCTGCCCTGGGGGAGTGAGAGAGCACAGCGTGGGGCTTCGTTGCCAGCTGGGTTGCCTACCCACGGTAGGCTAAGCAGCTCAGTGTAAAACCTCGCACGTGAGCAATCCACCGATGCACACACAGTATGGTCGATCTTGTCAAGGCAGAATTTCAGTCTACTGCAAGCAGAAAATGGGGTACTGAATGTAAGCCTACTAAGCACTGCAGATTTTTCCTTCCATTTAAAATAGCTGAGCAAGAGAGATTTCTGTGGAAAATACTCGACAGAATATGCATTAAGCGTGTAAATTTTTATGTAAAACTGATTCTTCGGTGAAAATCATAGAATAACAGGCATTAATCCCGTTTGAGAGCTGAATGAATAACCTGCGTAACAGATCTGCGTACAGATCCATCTTTTGCCGAGACAAAAACAGGCTTTTTTCGGAGACGGCCGGCCTTTGACCAGACCCTGCTCTCGGAAGCCGCTCACCTATTCATCGGCCCCACGAGGCGAGGACACCCGGTACCAGACACTCAGACCTCGCCCGGGGGATGGCTCGGGGCCCGCAGAGACTTTCGGCCACCGGCAGCGCCTGCGGGGCATGTGCCCCCCTCCCGCGAGCAGAGCCCCGAGCGCCCCGGG